AAACAAACAAACATTGCATAAAATTTAATCCCTGTAAATAAGAATACATTTTATACAATTTGAATGGACTTTGTACTGGAGTTGGATATTTTACTACATGTGTAAATTTCGTGTTCACATATTTCATGAAATTAAAGAGATAGAATTGAAGTAACTACGTGCCTAATCTCACTTGAATAATATTAACCATTTGAAAAACTTAACTTAATGATAAAGCAAAACACAAACGTGATAATAGGAAGCATTTATTATACGTTTCGGAATCATCATAATTCCATCATCAGTAATCTAGAGTTACAAAACAAACAAACAATATTTTTACTTACAACATAAGTATATACGTAAGAAGTAAACAATCTGAATATACAAATATAACACCAGAAAATGTATAATGTTTCTTTTATAAGAAGTTCAGTACCATGTTTGGCTATTGAGAGAATTTCAAAGTTGGAGAGAGAAATCGGATGTCCTGTTTCTGTATTTTACTGATAGATAGTGGAGTTAGGAGGGTTTGTAAACATTCTTCCAGTTTTTATACATATGCCTATATGTTCACATACTCATACTCTAAGGTGGGTTTGGTTTCACTAATATAGGAAGCCTACAAGTTACAGTCTACGCACGTGTATAAGTAGACGAGATGTGAACAATGGGCAGTCCACAAACGATCTCTGTAGCGGAAAAAAATTTTAGTCTGAAATTGGGTTTCATAATAACTTTCAGGTCAATTTGGGGATAGTAAGAGTTATTATGGAGAAGTTCGGATCTTGCAGCTCTTTGGGGCCAATAAGATACACTGATGACACTTTGAGACTATGAATGTACAGAATGTAATAATGATGGAAATTTCTGTATGTTTCAGCATTCTGTTGCTGACCTCACCCAAAGACACTGCGTTCATCAGGATGTACATATCATTGGATTTAAGGAAAATGAGGATCGCCTCTCTCACGCACTGACATTGTTTTAACCACACAATTATCGTAAAACTCACAATAAATAAACTGCTTGCACCACCATTTCACAAAAGTTGTCAAGTGAAGTGTCATTTTGTGTAATTCTGGGTTTGAAAAATCTACAAGAGTCTTCTTGAAGTGCAATAAGAGGACTGTAATACAATGCAACATGATAAATTGACATTTCAGAGGAGAATAAAGAAACCCTTCAGAAGATCTCAGTCAAATGGCAGATATGTACAGAGGACCTCTACAGTCTTCTGCCATTTTTATTTTGGGTATTGTGAAAATATTACTTAGTCCTTTAATATTTATATTATGTAATTTTGTACTGTTTTCTGTTCTGTCTGGTCTTAATTTTAACTTTATAAGCCAATTATATTTTGATGGGAGTCTTCTCCTGTAATTGTGTTATACAAAATTCAGTTTGCTACCCTGTATTTTCTTTAATCTTTTTATATCCAGTTGGATAGATCATTGTTGTTTGGCTTTAAAAAACAAACAAACTATAACCACTTGTTCTACATTGTATTAATTTTTACATTTTATTC